GCCCTGCGTTAAAAAATCAGCAATACTGCAGACAGGATGGGTCTGGGGTTGCCTCTGTGAGGGAGCAAGGCTAAATGTGGCAGTGCTGAAGGTCTGCAGAGGCTCCGAGAAGACAGTGCTGCAAGCAGGGGCTTTTGTAAGTTTCTATTTCTTTGGTTCACAGGAGAACAGTACCGAACAGAAAAATATCTCCACAGTTCTAAATCAGTGTTTTCCAAGTGCCAGTCACTCCTACAATATGACCACAATTTTTATTCCATGTGTTTACAAACTGCTAATTTTTTACTTAAAATTTTAAAATTTTATTACTTTTCTTTTTACTTTAAGAAGTTTTACTTTAAAAACAACAACAAAAAAGTTTTACTTAAAAGGGAAACTTTATAACAATAACTATAAATAGAAAGCCTGCAACCCTTGCTGTAAGTAGAAGGGAACTATAAAAATAAATACATAGGGGCATCTGGGTGGCTCCGTCAGTTAAGCATCTTGACTCTTGATTTCAGCTCAGGTCATGATCTTACGGGGTCGTGAGATCCAGCCCCACATCTGGTTCTGGGCTGGTGGTGCAGAGTCTGCTTGGGATTCTGTCTCCTTCTCTCTGCCCTTCCCCTGCTCGTGCACATTCTCTCTCAAAATAAAAATACATCAAGAGACGAAACAATGCTTTAGCTAGATATAATTCACTGCCTGCTAAAAGCAGTAGCTGTGGGGTTAGACAGTTTGCTTTCAAGGAGGCGGTTTGGATTTTAAGTACAGTGGAAAATCACTGAAGGATTTTAAGTAGGAAGACACATGGTCTGATTGGATATCTTAACAACCCTCTCTTGGAAGTTTTTTAAAAATGAGAAAAAAATGAGAAAAGACACAGAAGAACTGAACTGAACAACACCATCATCTACTTTTACCTAAATGACAATCACCAAATGCTACACCCTGATGGAACCCTTGTGCACTACCGGTAGGAATGTGAAATGATACAGTCACTGTGAAAAACCGTACGGTGGTTCCTTAAAAAAAAAAACCAAAAAACAAAAAAACAATCTAAACAGAATTACCCACTAATCCTGCAACTCCAATTCTGGGTATATACGCAAAGGAACTGAAAGCAGGCCTTGAAGAAATATCCGTACAACTATGTTCATAGCAGCATTATTCACAATAGCCAAACAGTAGAAGCAACCCAAAGTCAGTAACAAAATGAATAGATAAACAAAATGTAGTATATATACACGATGAAACATTATTCAGTCTTAAAATGTAAGGAAAGTGACCCATGCTATAACATGGATGACCCCTCAGGAAAATTTATTAAGTCAAATAAGCCAGTCACAAAAAGACAGGTACTGTGTTATTGCACTTACCTGAGGCACCTACGGTAGTCTAATTCTTAGGGACAGAAAGTGCTATGGAATTGTATGACGTTTCTGGACATAAGAGACTCCATTTTGAAGCTCTTTTTTCCTTCCCAAACTGACGAATGCTCGAACTGGGACAGAATGTCAATTGTCTTACAGGCGGTTGCTCATAAAATTTCAACACGGCAACTGGTATTTGGATCATATGAGGACAGTAAAGTTAATTAATACATACCAGGGCCAGTTTCATTTGATAGCGCAAGTCAAATAATCAATAAGAGAGTCATCAGAAGTGGCTCAAGCGGTCAACCCCAAACTAGCTGGGTCTTTCTTTTCTTTTCTTCTTTACCTAAATCATGTAATTACCCCATTTCCATCTCTCTCATAAAAAACCCTGCTTTCCCTAGATGAGTGGGACACTTCTCTGGTTATTCCAAAATCTGTGCTCCCCAGATTGCAATTCTGAGACCCCAAATAAAGGATTTTGCTCTTTTTCAGTTTTGCCCCTCTTCTCAGTTGACAACAGGACGGTGGTTCCCAGGTGCCGGGTGGGGAGAATGAGGAGTTAGTGTTTAATGGGTACAGAGTCTCAGCTGTGCAAAATGAATGGTTCTGGAGACGGGTGCCGGTGAGGACAACCATCTGCACTTAATGCCAAAGAACTGTACGCTTAAACATGGCTAAGGCGGTGGGCGCCTGGCTGGCAAAGTGGCAAGAGCATGTCACTCTTGATCTCGGGGTCCTGAGTTCGAGCCCCACACTGGGTGTAGAGATTACTTAATAAAACTCAAAAAAAAAAAAAAGTTTTTTAAATGGTGAAGATGGTAAAATTTATGTAATGGATATTTTACCACAATTTAAAGAAAACAACATTAACACCAAATCCAAAGGCTGCAGATTTTGCCTTGAGGAACTCGGTGAGTGGTGATCTATTCACGGAGATAGGGCAGAATGTGGAAAGAGCAGTTCTGGGTAGAAAATACAAGAGTTTTGGGGTGGGGCGCCTGGGCGGCTCAGTCGTTAAGCACCTGTCTTCGACTCAGGTCACAATCTCACGGTTCCTGAGTTGGAGTCCCACATCAGGTGAGCACGAGCCCCACTTCGGGTGAGTATGAGCCCTGTTTTGGATGAGCTTGAGCCCTGCTTTGGGTGAGCCCGGCTTCTCTCTCTCTTTTTCTCTGCCCCTTGTGGGACTGTCTCTCTCTCTCTGCCCCTTGCTCACTTGTGCCCCACCCCCCAAATAAATAAAAAAAGAGTTTTGGGGTATGTTAAGCCTGATGCAAACCTGACAATTAGATGGAGATGTTAAGTGGGCAGTTAAATTTTTTTTTAAGTGTATTTATTCTGAGAGAAAGAGGAAGAGGGTAGGAGAGGGGCAGAGGGAGATGGAGAGAGAGAATCCCAAGCAGGATCCGCTGTCAGCACAGAGCCTGATGCGGGGCTCGGACCCATGAACCATGAGATCATGACCTGAGCTGAAATTAAGAGTCTACGTTTAATTGACTGAGCTGCCCAGATGGCCCCAGACAGCTGGATTTCCAAATGTGAAGTTCCAAAGAAAAAGTCAGGGACAGAATTACAGATCTAGACAAAAATAAGGATACAAATACTTAATTGGGGATTATTAGCATATAAATAGGATTCAAAACCACAGGATGGGGTGAGATTACCCAGGGAGGAGGTAGAGAATAGAAGAGGGAGTAACAAGACAACCTTGGAGCACCCCATTATTGAGAGTGAAAGCACAGGGCAAAAAAGCATAATAATGAAAAGAATCAAGCAGTGAGGGAAATAAGGAGACGCTTAAAAAAAAATCAGATGTCTAGACCTAAGCCTGGGAACTTGGAACTAAGAGGCGAAGGGCAAATAAAATCTCCCTAGGCTGTGAGAGCCGGGAGGGAATGCGCATGTGGCAGAGGCGGCGGGAGAAAGAAGGAGAACTGAATATTTGGAAGGTGCCACCGACAGGACTTGGTGACTGACTAGATGTGGGATGGAAAGGAGAGGAAATTAAATGACACGGTGGTTTCTTTTTGGCAGGTTACTGCTGTCATTAAAACAAGTAATACAAGGGGCGCCCGGGTGGCTCAGTTGGCTGAGCGTCCGACTTCGGCTCAGGTCACGATCTTGCAGTTCGTGGGTTCGAGCCCCGCGTCGGGCTCTGTGCTGACAGCTCAGAGCCTGGAGCCTGTTTCAGATTCTGAGTCTCCCTCTCTCTCTGACTCTCCCCCATTCATGCTCTGTCTCTCTCTGTCTCAAAAATAAATAAAAACGTTAAAAAAAAATTAAAAAAAAAAAAGTAATACAAGATGGAAGGACAGAAATAAGGGATTTGAGTTGTTTCTATAGTGGTGGGTCGTGTGTGTGTGTGTGTGTGTGTGTGTGTGTGAGCGCGTGTGTAGGGAGGAGGGCCGAAGAAGAATGTTAGTCATGACAGCCAACATTAATTGAGCACCTGTCAGTGCTATCTATCTATTTTGGAGAGCTGGGGCATCCGTTTGCAAAGAACACTGTCATCAAGGAGCACAAAAATCCTACGTTGAAAATTAAGGAAGTGAAGTTAGCCCAAAGCCACACAGGTGGTATGCAGCACAGAGGGCCTCAAACCTGGGTCTGATGGACTCCGAGCCCAAGTTTGAGGTACCCATGGGATAGTAGTTAGGGATGCGGGAGTCATCAAGGCAGTTAAAGTCTTAGGAGGGATGTGATCACCCATGGAGAAAATATGCAGGTCAGTGAATTATATTATTCATACACTTGACTAACTCTTAACAATGGTACAATAGACCTTTTCCTCACCTACAAAAAGGAAGTAATACCTAATTTGTAAGTAATGCCACTGAGGGCAGTTTTTGTATTCCTAGGGTTGTATTACCTGGAACAAAAGGACCACTCCACAAAAGCTTGCTGAAGCTGTGAAAAACCAAAACCCAAACCAAAACCCAATAACTGGCCACAATTAGAAAGTTATTAAACAATATGAGAACAACTATTTCCTGACCAAATTACAGCATAGTTTTTTTTCGTTCCCTCTCTGTGTGGCATGCGACAAATGAACTGGTTCTTCCTGCACCACAATAGTGTCTGTTTTATGAATTGTTCTGTGGTAAGTAGTACATGGGAGACAGAACTCAGTGAGACAGGACCTCTTACCTACCACTGAAAGGTTAAGTAGGATCTGGAAAGACAATGTGATACAATGTATCAAGAGCCTCAAGGCCTTAACTCAGTAATCTTATTTAGGAATTCATCCAAAGAAAACATTAAGAGATGTGGCCAAAGGTTTAGGTTAGAAGTAATAAAATATCCAACCATAGAAAAATTATTAAATAAGCCATCATACAGACATAGGGTAGAGCACCATATGTGGCTCTCAAATCAAGTTTTTGAAGAACACTTAAAAATACAAGAAAATGATTTTGATAAGTATAATGAAAAAAGTAGAATATAAACTAGACTGAGTACGACCATCATTCTGTGTTCAAATGTAGATGTAGCTATCTATTTATCATTACCCAGCAAAAAGATTACAGGAGATCATAATATTCTTTATGTTTTTCGGGATTTCTAAAATTTCTGCAGAAGGTACATTTTCATTTTACAACTCAAAAATGTATGGTAAATAAAATGAAAGACAGCACTCACCTTCTTTCTTTTTCTAGAAGAATTCCTCGTGGGGTCAGGCTTCTCAAACTCTGCTGACTTTGCCTCTTCCTTCTCCTCTTCCTCATCTGGTATCAGAGAATATTTGGTCCCTCCTGGTTGCATAAAACAATCCTTTGCAAAGTGGCCTGCAGAGGAGAGGCAGAAGAGGTAAGGAGGGGAGAAGCAGCCTCTCCGCTCAGCATGTGGACCTTCCCCAGAGGCTCCTGAAAGGGGCTAGCTGGTCCAGGAGGTATGACTGAGTTCGCTCAGAGCGGCTGCTGGGTTCAGAGCAGATTTTCTGGCACCTCAAGATGGCATCGCTCACGCAGCCAGAGTCAGGCCAGCATCTGGTCCTAGAGCCGGGGGAACGACTGGCACTCCTGTGGACGTGGCAAAGGAGATGAGGAAGCAGGTCTGTGCTTCCTTCCACTAGCAATGGGGCTTATTTTTGAAGATCTATTTGGAACTTACTCCTGACATCCAAAGGCTGCTCCAGAGAGAATGCTTAGCAGAGGGAGCTGAGTGGCAGGCCAAGCCCTACAGGAAGACAGCTCTCAGGCAGCCGGCAGGAAGGTGGCATTCGCCTCCGAGCTAACACACTGAGACAGGCAGTCGCCTGGGGGCACTCCACATCCAGACGGTCAGGTCTGGCAAGGGCCTTAGAGCTCATCAAATCCAACACCGCATGTGCAGAGGATATAAAGGCCCAGGGTAGAGAAGTAGCTCAACGTCACAAAGACAGCAGCGGAGCTAAAAGTTACCCCCGGTTCCTGCCTCCCTGCGCTGTGCTCTTCTGGCTGCACCAAGACCGACCACCTTGGGTCTCTGCTGACTGGGCCCAATTCCGCGTGTTATATTCTCTGCCCCACGTAACACCTGGAGGACGCAAGCCGAAGGTAAGAGAACCCCACCTTAGGCTCCTACATTAGGGAGCCTAATGTGCTGTCAGGGGGCCCTTTAACAGCTGCCACGGAGCTGGTTTTGTCCAAGCTTGCTACAGACCCTGTTTCGGGGGCACAGATGATCCCATGAGATCATCAAAAAGCTCTGTGTCAACTACTTTGCAACTCTGAATCCAGAAGCTGGATGGTGCCTTCAAGGGGAATACAGCATTAAGTTTTCCAAATATCTGGACTGTTCCCACAATTCCCCTGAGGAGGTAGTCTTTCAATGTCATTTTTCCCTTCCTCCCTCTACATTAATGGTAAGTAGGGGCTTAAACCCCACCACAACAATCGGGGCACAAATCTGCTATAGAAAATTCAAGAGAGAAGGGTAAAAGGAAGGCAAGGGAGATGGGGTGACAAATTGAGGTCACTCTGAAATGAGACGCTGGCAGTCCCTCTCATGATAGCTCCGGAGAGGGAAGTCAGGCTGAGTGAGCTCTTTAACACCCGAGTAAGACTAGAAGAAACCTGAGGAGGCAGCTTCAAGGAAGAGGCCAGCCTGTGTTCTTTATTACTCAAAGGGTACTGTATTTGCAACTCTGAAGTTAAAGAGATAAAGAGGGGAGCAAGATAGGGTTTGACTTGGATCCCTGAGGAAAATATTTCCAAGTCACTTCGTTTCTGCAGAATAATAATGGTCCTTGGAGGTAAAACTTTACGGTGCTCACCATAATCCAACACTCTCCCCCCTCCTGGTGTAGCACATGGGGACCTTGCCTGGACAGGGCATCAGCCGTGAAGAGGGGGAGCGGGGTGACAGTATAGTATTCAGCGGGGCCAGCATTCCGAAAACGAAACAGGAAGAGCAGGAACTCTGGTGAGAGTCTAGTAGGAATAACAGCAGGGGCAGGTGAGGCCATCGCCAGACTAAAAAGCAGGGTGAGCCACACGCAAACCAGGCGGCCTCCCGCATCCAGTAAGGGGCCATCACAAGGAGAGGAGGACTGGCACGGCAGAGGCTTCACCTTACCTTTACAGCCACACTTCTTGCAGGTGGTGTTCAGGACAGCCTCGAGGGTGATCTTCTGCCCAGTGTAATCCTGGAAGGACCGCCTCCGCCTCTCTTCCTGCCTGTAACGAAAAGGACACTGACTGACGGCCCTCTTAAGAGATGTGCCAGAGATACTAGAAGGTAATGCCGTATACTGGTTTTTTGTTTTGTTTTTTGGCAGGTAGAAGGAAAAAAGAAGGAAAAGCGTCGTGCATGAGGAGACAAGCAGTGAAAGCAGCGCCATGAAACAGATGATTTTTTTCATTCAGGACAGGCTCTGAATTAATAATTATGAATGAGACAACTTCAGCTCACTGAAGCACAGAGGATAAAGCTATAATTACTCACCTCACTAAGCCCCCTATAACCATGACAAGGTCACTCCTGGGGTTTAAAAGACCTCCAAAGGCTTCCTAAAAAATCAGGTCCAAATCCCTTACTTTGGTGCTTGAGGCCTTTCCCAGTCTGGCTCTAACCTGCTTCTCTGGCCCCTTCTTTACTTGTACGAGATGCTCTAGCCAAACAGGTTTAGTTTGCCTTCTCCAGATGGTTCACTGCCCTCACCTGAGCAGTTTCCTCCCCCTGAAATGCTGCCTCCCCTCTCTCCTCCCACCTCACCACCCCCAAACATCTCAAGGCTCAGTCAATGACCATCTCTCTTTCTATCAGGTCTTCTCCCGAGCCCTCAGCCAGAATTCATCTCTTTGTTCACATTCCTGTAGCGCTTCTTAAAAGTTCTAAAGGTATTACTAACGTATATGTGCAAAAAGGCGTTCATAAGCATACAGCTTGACCGGCTTTCACGATCTGAACACACCCAGGAAACCAGGATTCAGACAAGGAAACAGAAGGTGGCCAGCACCTCCAAAGCCCCGCTAGTCACCATGCCTCCCCCAAGGGTAACCGCTACTCTCATTTCTAACAGCATAGTTTCATGGATTTTTGTAAATTATGTGAAGGGAACCCTAGAGTACGGACGCTTCTCTGTTTGGCTTCTTTCACTTGTTTGGGAGATTCACCTGTATTGCTGTGTGCACTTATGCGTCACCAATTCTCACTGCTGCAAAGTATTTAGCTGTCGAGAGGTATCTGAGTAGTCTCTATCAGGAACAGTGCTTCTGTGAACTTTCTAGCATGTCTTTCAGTGAACAGATATATACGCATTTCTGTTGGGAAATGCCTACTTCCAGGGAGCAGAGGAACAGTATACTGGGCTGTAGGGCATCAGCCGTAGCAGACACTGCCGGCCGGTTTTCCGTGGCGTTTACCAATTACACTCCTACCAGCTGTCATGGCTTTCTTTGACCTTTACTGTAACACACAGTACCTGCACAGAGTGGGCACTCAGGAATGTTCGATCGCAGTGTTACCCTCGATCACTCTTTCTTTCAAACTCAAACTGTAGTCAAACACACTTCAGTCCCAGCGCACATCACACTTTATAGCCTGATGCCCTGACGTTTCTTCTCTGGACTGTGAGCCCTTTCTACAACACCCTACTTGTCTTTGTTCTCCCAGCACCTTAGCCCAAGGCTTAGCAAGCGACCACATCAATGAGTGAATGCTGAAATTTCTGTGGTCTTGACCCCAAATGTTTTTTCTTTACCTAAACCTCTTTAACTTTGAACACTGACTTCACTTAAGCTTTTCCAACTATTCTCCAGGTCTCTAGAGAGTCCAGCAAAACCAGAAATATTTTGCCAAAAACACCCCCTCACCCAGAGAAATGCAGGAAGACCATATCAAAGCAGAACAAAACTGCCCACCTCACATATTTTAGTTCACAGTTTCATGGGATATGCAGGCTCAAGAGAGGAAACAGAAAAGACCGAGATACTCCGTACTCTGTCCTGGTCATTCTTCAGTTCAGCTCACACACATCTTCTCTAACATGTTCCCTGCTACCACAGGCAGAGTTAATGACTCTTCTGTGCTCCCACACCGGTTTACTCTCTGATCATTTTGTTACATTCGTTTACATTTTGGCTCACCCTCCTACCCCGAGCAGGACTTCAAAGATAAAGTCCATGTCTGACTTTTCCCGATATCTGAACAGCAAGCATGTTCTCTAGCATGCCGCTGTCCCACAGAATGCAATGATGGACAAGTTCTCCAAGTTTATGTCTGTACTGCTGACTAATATTTACATCTGTGGCTACTGAGCACTTAAAATGTGGTTAGTGTAACTGACGAATTAGATACTAAATTTTATTTAATTTTAACTTACATTTAAATAACCATACGTAACTCAGTGGCTACCTAGTGGGACAGTGCAGACAAGCGTCATAAGTTCTGAAAATGTCTGCTCAAATCCCCAGCTTTTGCCCTAGGATAATCTTACTCAAAGAATAGGGGGTCACTGTCTAGCATGGGTCATGGGAGAGGGTCCTTTCAAAGAGTAAAGCTTGAGTTACAGAAACCAAGGTGAGGGGACACCTGGCTGGCTTAGTGGGTGGAGCATGTGACTCTTGAGCTCGGGGTTGTGAGTTCAAGCCCCATGCTGGGTGTGGGGATTACTTAAAAAAATAAAATCTTTAAAAAAACGAAAACAAAAACGGGTACCTGGGTGGCTCAGTTGGTTGAGCGTCATGACTTCGGTCATGATCTCATGGTTTGTAAGTCTGAGCCCCACATCAAGATCTCTACGCAGATCTCCGTGCAAGATCTCAGCACAGAGCCCGCTTTGGAAGCTCTGCCTCCCCTGCCCTTCCCCACTCACACTTTCTGTCTCAAAAATGGATAAACACTTCTTTTAAAAAAAAAAAAAAAAAGGTGAGGTGAGTAGAGAGAGAAATGGGAGTTACTTGTCAAGAGGCATAAAGTTTCAGTTAAACAAGATGAACTAAGTTCTAGAGCCCTGCCGTACAACACCGTACCTAGTAAACAATACCATAAGTACACTTAAGATTTTGTTAAGAGGGTAGATCTCATGGTAAGTATTCTTCCCACAATAAAACTCATTTTTCTTAAAAACCAGGGCAGGGGGGCGCCTGGGTGGCTCAGTCGGTTAAGCGTCCGACTTCAGCCAGGTCACGATCTCGCAGTCCGTGAGTTCGAGCCCCGCGTCGGGCTCTGGGCTGATGGCTCGGAGCCTGGAGCCTGTTTCAGATTCTGTGTCTCCCTCTCTCTGTGACCCTCCCCCGTTCATGCTCTGTCTCTCTCTGTCTCAAAAATAAATAAACGTTAAAAAAAAAAAATTAAAAAAAAAAAAAAAAAAAAAAAAAAAAAAAAAAAACCAGGGCAGGATCTTGGGGACATAACTTGAGAAAGTCACACACTTCATGGCGTTCAGATGTCCTTATCTGCCGAGCTGAGTTTCAAGTGATTATGAGCTGCAGCTTAAACAAATCCTTATTATAATCAATTCCAATATTCTGTGGGTCCTAACATACCAGAAGCTAAACGTAAGTCCCACTTAATACTCAATTCAACAAACGTGTCATTTACCACATCTCCCTTTCTGTGCTCACTGTCATCGTGCTGCTTTAGGCTTCTAACTACATCACATCTAAGTCGTAATAATCCCCTCACGGGTCTCCCTGCCTCCAAGTTTCCTCCTCCAACCCATCCAGTGCACATAGTTGAATTAAACTTTCTTTTTTTCAGTTCAACTATTAAGTGATAGGCATCGGTGCGAGTACTAGGGATATAAGTACGTTAAAATGACAGAACATGGTCCTTCTCAAGGAGCTAACAGACTAGCAGCAGAGGGAGACATACACATGGGTAACTACAGTGGTGAACCATAAATACTCTTTTTTTTTTAAGTTTATTTATTTATTTTGAGAGAGAGAGAAAGCATGAGCGGAGGGGCAGAGAGAGAGGGAGAGAGAGAGAGAATCTCAAGTAGGTTCTGCACGGTCAGTGCGGAGCCCCACGCGGGGCTCAAACTCACAAACCGTGTGATCACGACCTGAGCCAAAATCAAGAGTCAGATGCTTAACAGACTGACCCACGCAGCTGTCCCCCATAAATACTCCTCTAAAAGACTATGCTATACTGGCTAAACCTACCTGGAAACTGTCTTTCACCCTTTCCATTTACAGATTCACTTTAACACTCTGGGACTGAAGGGATGAAATGTAAGACATATATTGATGAAAAACAAAAGGCAGCTGACAGACTGTGTGGCTGGAGACAGCATGAGGACACTGAGCATAAGAAGGCAAGGTTAGAGAATGGGACATGAGGGGAGATTAATCTGATCAGGTGCCTCTACTCCTCCTCAAAGGCTTTAAGAAAATTACTACTACTCTTTGGCTGACAGTCAAGTCAAAGCTCTCTACAATCTGACCCCAACATACCTTTTAAGCCCTACATTCTAGACCTTGACCACACCCCCCCTCTTTTTTTTTTAATTTACATCCAAATTAGTTAGCATATAGTGCAACAATGATTTCAGGTGTAGATTCCTTAGTGCCCCTCACCCATTTAGCCCATCCCCCCTCCCACAATCCCTCCAGTAACCCTCTGTTTGTTCTCCATATTTGAGAGTCTCTTTGTCCCCCTCCGCTTCTATATTATTTTTGCTTCCCTTCCCTTATGTTCATCTGTTCTGTGTCTTAAAGTCCTCATATGAGTGAAGTCATATGATATTTGTCTTTCTCTGACTAATTTCGCTTAGCATAATACACTCTAGTTCCATCCATGTAGTTGCAAATGGCAAGATTTCATTCTTTTTGATTGCTGAGTAATACTCCATTTTGTGTGTGTGTGTGTGTGTGTGTGTGTGTGTGTATCACATATATCCATATATATCCACATATATCCATCAATGCACATTTGGACTCTTTCCATACTTTGGCTATTGTCGATAGTGCTGCTATAAACATTGGGGTGCACGTGTCCCTTCGAAACAGCACACCTGTATCCTATGGATAAATGCCTAGTAGTGCAATTGCTGGGTCGTAGGGTAGTTCTATTTTTAATCTTTTGAGGAACCTCCATACTGCTTCCGGAGTGGCTGGACCCCCCTCTTTTCTTAAACAAGACTCCTAACTGTGCCCTGTGTTTTCCTGTCTCATGCCTTTCCTTAACCCCTTTCTTCTATATGGAATAGCACTCCCTTCCCTGCTGCCTGACAAAATTGTATCCATTCTTCTAGACCTAGCTCAAATGCAACCTCTCTTCTAACCATCAGGGACTGAAACTAACTTGTCCTCTTTAAGCTAATTCCTAGAATTCTTCCTTTAATCCATTCTTTTGGCATTTATCCCACTTGCCTTCTATTAAAGTTATTTGCATAATGATCTCATTACACTAGGCCCTGAGGCCCTTAGGCAGAAACCTTGGTATTGCCACTGCACCTAATGTAGAACACGAACCTCTAAGATAATTGTTGAATAAATGAGTAAAAGAAAGCCCCAGCTAAATGAGCGATATGCATCAGGCACAATGGGAGATAAGAAAGAGGTGCAACCCCTGTTCTCCTGGGTCTTACATGTTCTTTCAAAAGAAAAGTTGTGCTAACCACAGAGAAAAATGAGATCTTTGAAAACAATAACTACAATGGGGTGCCTGGGTGGCTCAGGCACTTGAGTGGCGGACGTCAGCTCAGGTCATGATCTCACGGCTTGTGAGTTCGAGCCCTGCATTGGGCTCTGTGCTGTCAGCTCAGAGCCTGGAGCCTACTTCAGATTCTGTGTCTCCCTCTCTCTCTGTCCCTTCCCTGCTCTCACTCTGTCTCTGTCTCAAAAATAAAGATTAAACGAGATTAAAGAGGGGTGCCTAGGTGGTTCAGTCCGTTGAGCATCTGACTTTGGCTCAGGTCATTATCTCTTTCATGAGTTCGAGCCCCACATCAGGTTTTGTGCTGACAGTGCAGAGCCTGGAGCCTGCTTCGGATTCTGTCTCCCTCTCTCTCTGCCCTTACTCTGCTCACACTCTCTCTCTTTCTCAAAAATAAATAAACATTAAAAAAAATTTAAAAAAACCCCAATAACTACAAGTAGCCACCATCTGTCAAGTTTCTACTGTAAACTAGATGCTAATCTGACTCTTTACAAACAAGACTGTATCGAGATCATTCCATCATTTCTGAGATGTAGGTATCATTCTCTCCCACTGATAGTGAAGAAGCTGAGGTTCAGAGACTCAAGGTGGTCTGTTCAAGGCCATACATCAGCTTACAGCAGAACTAGGACTCTTTCTGCTTTACGTAGAACTCTAAAACCTCTTATCATTCCACTATACCATGCTTCTTTCCTGGATGCAATTCTAGAAATAGTTTACAAGTTACTGTTCGGCCACTTGGTTATTACTAGAAATAGCCTACACACAGAAACATGGACACCCCCAAAAGCAAGTAAATGCCAAACTTAAAATAACCTTACTGAGCTCTGAGTTATAAAACATTTCTACTGTAACCGAAAAGTATCCTGTCAATAATCAGACTTACAAATGTCAATATTTGGAGACAAAACTATAGAAATATGGAAAAACTCTTAAGTCACATGCAACAGCTAGAAGCATCATGTGTCAAAAACAGGCATTAGCCTTAATGTCAAGGAAACCTAGATTCAGGTCCTTGACCCACTATAATTTGCTACTAACCACAGGCAAATTATTTATCACCAAGCATTAAGTTCAAAGTTAGGAATCCAGGGGCACCAGGCTGGCTCAGTCAAGGGAGCATGTGACTCTTGATCTCAGGGTTGTAAGTTCAAGCCCCACAATAGGTGTGGAGATTGCTTAAAAATAAAATCTTAAAAAAAAAACACCCCACCCCCCACAACTAGGAATAAAAAGTAAAATGAAAATAATACCCATTTGGAGGTTATTATGAGAATCAGATACACAAATGTATGTAAACTGCCTTGCATAATGCCCGGCACATAGTATGTATCCAATAAAAATCAATTCCTTCCCTTTTAGGTAAAACTCTTATGTATCCAAACTGATTTTGCTTATGGGACGTGTGGGTGGGTGGCTCAGTTGGTTAAGCATCTGACTTCAGCTCAGGTCATGATCTCATAGTTCGTGAGTTCAAGCCCCACATGGGGCTCTGTGTTGACAGCTTGGAGCGTGGAGCCTGCTTCAGATTCTGTGTCTCCCTCTCTTTCTGCCCCTCCCCCACTCGTGCTCTGTGTGTCTCTCTCTCTCCAAAATAAACATCAAACTGATTTTGCTTAGAACTATAAACACAGGTTTCCAAACTTTTCCCCACCAAGATCCCACACAAACATTTATTTTTTTCTTATTTTTTAAATTAATCAATAACATAACTCCACTGAGAGCACCTGATTAGCCTGAGATAAACAATGTGCTATTTTAACAATATCAAAAGCAATAAAATAATGTGTTTTTTTTCTTTAGAGAGAGCGTGTGTGCGAGTGGGGTAGAGGGGCGGAGGAAGAGAGAGAGAGAATCCCAAGTAGGCGCCAAGATCAGCACAGAGCCTGATGCAGGGCTCGATCCCACAACCCTAGGATCAGGACCTGAGCCAAAATCAAGAGTCAGACATTCAACCAACTGAACCACCCAGGTGCTCTAACATATGGTTAACCTGAAGGTAAATGCATGATTTGGCTGGCTTTCTGAAATACTGGAAACAGTTCATAAACCCTTCAGGGAACCTGAGGGAACTAGGAACCTCTAATCAGAAATCCCACTGGCATATATTCAGGAAAGACTTTGAGACAGATAGCAAATTCCCCTGTATCACCAGACATTAGCCTACATGGATAGCAAATCTTCCATTCCTAAATGAAAGGTCCGAAGAGCCAATAAAACCAAGATGTGGTGTTCAGAACACAGTTATCCCAAGATGTGTTGCTTCTAGATTACCCTACCCTCCCACATGGTCTCTGTCTTCTTTGAGCCCCAGTGCTAGGACACAAGGAACAGGGGCCTCATGAATGCTTGTTGGCTGACTGGTTAAAGGGCTAATGCAGAAAGAATAAGGGGAAGGAAACAAAACCACTGATGGAGCACTTCTGTGCTAGGAGCTTGGCATGTTAGCATTCCATCCTCGAACTCTACACAGCACAGTGTGACCTACACTTTAGACCTCTAAATCCAAATATCACCAAGGCTACTTAACTCCTCAATATCAGAGACTATATATGGCAGAGTTCCCAGGTCAGTCTGATTCACTACAGCATTCTTTAGTTTGAGAAGCAGAAGGATTTTAGCCTTTCCAAACCTTTTACCTACTCAATGATAACGTTGTTGGGGTCAAGGTCTTTCCCAGTTCCTTGGTTGACGACTTTCATGGAGAGGGACACTTTTATCCTATCATTTTTCATCTGTAAAAGACAAAAGGCAAAGTCACCAAAAGTTAAGAGTACATCATTTAGACTGCTGATCTACAATTATCTAACTAAGAATCAAAGCTTTTATCATCATAACAAACACCGAGCTCCTCTAATGGTTGAGGTCCTGTACTGGGACCTAGCACTGGGAGTGCTAATGAGGATAAATAGATCTTGTGGCAGAATAACTGTAGGAAGTAGTTTTTACCTTATTTTTGTTCCTCTGGGGAGGAAAGACAGAAATGGCTGCTCAGAAATTCAAGGCCTGTGGAGGTAGCCAGGCAGAAAAATAAAAGCCATTTTTCAAGTTCAGCATAATGATTAGTTCAGAGACCCATGAGCCCAGAATGGGTTTCTGAAACATTCCAGACTAGACTAGATCCTCCTTTGGACTTGGTCTAGAGCATCTTTCTTTTCTTTTTTCTTTTCTTTTCTTTTCTTTTCTTTTCTTTTCTTTTCTTTCTCTCTCTCTCTCTTTCTTTCTTTCTTGTTTAAAAATTTTTATTTATTGATTTTTAGAGCATTTTTATTATTATTTTTTTTTAAATTTTTTTTTCAACGTTTATTTATTTTTGGGACAGAGACAGAGCATGAACGGGGGAGGGGCAGAGAGAGAGGGAGACACAGAATTGGAAACAGGCTCCAGGCTCTGAGCCATCAGCCCAGAGCCTGACGCGGGGCTCGAACTCACGGACCGCGAGATCGTGACCTGGCTGAAGTCGGCCGCTTAACCGACTGAGCCACCCAGGTGCCCCTACATTGGTCTTCTTTTGCTCCCTCCAACCCTTGCAGCCCTTCTCCATTTCAGGGTCTTTGCATCAGCTGCTCTCCTGGCCTAGAACATGCTTATCCCAGCTTCTCACGTGGCCACTGCCTTTCCCTTTAGGTCTCAGCTCATGTGTCATTTCCTCAGAGAGCCTGTGCCTGACCACTAAATCTACCTCTGACGCTGCCTGAGCCCATTACAGCACTTATTAGAACTTCCAATTTTTAAAAAAATGTTTATATTTATTTGAGAGACAGAGAGAGAGAGCACACACGTGCATGGGGGAGGGGTGGCGATGGAACAGAGGATCTGAAGAGGGCTCAGATCCTAAGCCACCCAGGCACCCCTAACTTACAATTATTTTATACATATGCTTGCTCATTTTAATGTTTGTGTCTTCCAGTTACATTCTGTATAAGCTCCATAACAGCTGATGTCACCTATGTCTGCTTCGCTCTTATATCCCTCAGACTAGTACATGGAAGCACTCAAACATTATTGAATGGCGTCTCTTTCAGCCCTATCTGCCCCGGCCGTTCTCTGGTGGAGGTCTCAGCGTCTGATCACATTTCTCCTGTAGGCTGCCCACACCCGCAGCCCACATGCCCTCAAGGGAGTTGCTGTTAACAGGGTCCTTCAGACTTTTCTCACTTCCCTCACACTGCATGGTGCCAGGTATTAGGATCAATAATGGTAAACTCTGTGTCTGCCCTTGTTTGGGTCCAAACTGAAGTGTACCTGGCAGCTGTTCTCTGAAGTTTGATAAAGACTCGTCCCAGCAATTAAGCTGCCTTCTCTCTTTTTGGTTCTTTCCTTTTGTTTTTTTTTTTTTTTTTT